ATATATATATACACATTTTCTTAATGTTAGATTTACATATGTATATATTGATAAATATTTGTGTGTGTGTGTGTGTGTGTGTGTGTGTGTGTGCGCGCGCGCGTGTGTGTGTGTGTTTGTGTGCATGTGCGTGTATGTGCATATATATATATATGTGTGCGTGTGTATAAAAATCAATTAAAGCCAAAACAGTCATGTTTAAATCTTACAAAGAAAAAGACCCATACACAACTGTCCTCCTCTGATTTTAATGAACTTTTAGTATGTTGTTGTCCAGACAAAAATAAGCAACACGTATTTTTTTATACGTGTCCAATCGCATTTTCAGGAGATGAAACATCCCTTAAATCATGCGCTTCTAAGTAGGGGAGGAGGAAGGATGATTGTTTACATTCTTTAAGAGATTAGTACGCATATAAAAATTTCACTAATCGTAATATATCTCTTATGTTATCCTCTACAATTATATATTATAGAACTTTAATTTACTATATCTCCTATATCAATGCCATCTCACTTAATTCTTGTGGGGAATCAGAACACTCCCCTACAACATATCTAAAGAATATTGAAATTGGTGAGATGTCATCTAAAATAAATATTTACTAGTAATAATATTAATATTTGGAAAATATAAAAAATTACATACGCGTATGTATATTAGTATATTAGTATACATGTTTAAAAAATAAATTTATTTTACAAGTTGTGATAAAAAAAGTGTTGAGTAATGAAGCAGAGATCCAGAAAATCATCGAAAATTAGTTTGTCAGAGCGAAACATAAATTTATATGCAAAAGTAACGAAATGAGTGAGAATAATGACATGAGAAGAGTGGTAACATAAATAGGAGTAGTGAAATGAATAAAGTCGGTTTTGAAAAAGAAATGCTATACAACTTATATACAACTTATATACTTATATACAATAAATATATTATTTTATATCTCTAAAAATAGCGGAAATATTCTAAGTGGACTTAGAGGAAATATTTTAAGCGGACTTAGGCTAATAACCTAATTCCAGAAAAAATCCATTGTAACAGAAACCTCATTAGAAATTCTATGTTTCATGCAGGAGATAAAGAAACGTATACCTACATATGTATATGTATTATACAAAAAATATAAAAGGAATAGAAAAAAGTATAATTCAAGAGATATGTATTATACTTAATTAATAAATTTTCAATATAAGTAATTTTACATTAAATTATACTCAGTTTATGTAAATCATTTATATGTAGCAGCGAATTTTATAAATTATATTATCTAAAAATGTTAAATATTATCTAAAAATATTATAAATATTATTTAAAAATAATTTTCAATAATAAATGGTAAACTCTTTCAGATATTGAAATTTTATCGAACATCTAGTTATTTTTAACTAATTAAGTTTTTTAATTTTAAAATCTAATCATTTTTTAAAACAAAAAATATATAAAGATTATGCGCGGGCGCGCATGTGCGCCGCGTATAATGTAAGTATATATATTTATACATAGTTTTATTTTTAGTTATATTTCTTCTTTTAAACATTCATTTAAATAAATGTGTATTCATGCAATGAATTTACTACCATCTTATTTTCTTTTCTAAAAAAAACTTAATAAACATCCCAGATAGTACAGAAAATTAAAAAGAATTCAGCCAAATGTCATCAATCCTGAGCTCTTTTTCAGATACAACAAGATTATGCTATCTGAGATGTATTATGATATATAAATTCGATGTGCTCGATTTTGTAAAAATATTAAGGAATTGCTGGAGCCGCCTATATTACCGATAAAACTAGCGTTTTTGACGTTTTTGTTCTTGTCGAATTTCTTCGTAATAATTTCACAGAATAAAAATTATTTTTCCACGATTAAAATGTACACGCTATATACTTGTCGCTATATTTTATGTTCAAAGCTGAAGAAAAATAAAAAGTCGAAATATTCAAAGATTATTGGAATAAAAATTCAAAAATTAATTTTGCGTACTAATTACACGTCGACTTTCAATCGCCCTGGTTTTGGATTCTTTTTTTTTTTTTTTTTTTTTTTAATTTGGAAGAGTCCGTTGTGGAAGATTATTTCTGAGATATTTCTGAAAACTTTCGTAATATACCTCTTATGCCAATCCTCTACGATTACATCTTATAGAACTTTAATTTATTATATTTCTTAAACCAATGCCGTTCCCCATTAATTCTTGTGGGGAATCACTCAGAACACTCCCCTACATACAACATATCTAAAGGATATTGAAATCGGTGAGGTATCACCTAAAATAAATATTTATGGTGCTGTGTAAGTTTACTAAAGAACCACCTTAGATACAGCAAGTAATTTATTAATTTCTCTAAAATAATGCGTCGTTTTTTTCTTAAATTATTGGTAAGTAAATTGATTTGTTTAATTCATTATTATCTCTTTTTTTATAACTTAGAAGAGCGTACGCCTTTCCTGAGAAAATATTTTTCAAGCGGTTTAACTAGAGGATATAAAGATTGACTATTTTTAAATGATAAAATATCGTCGATTTTCTTAACTTCTTCATCAGTTGATAAATCGGCAGTTTTTTCGATTGTGTTATCAGGTGAGCTCTTTTCCGATACTGTGGATATCACATGTACCGACAATTTATGTCGATTTTTACTATGTACATTTTCCTAGGAGATTTTATATGATAGATATTAATTTTTTAATAATTAAAGTTACTTTTCTCAAAAATTATGTCTCATAAAAAAATCATTTTATATTTTCTATTTTTATGTTAAAACTATTAATTTTCCTTTCGGAATAATATTAAATGATATATAAGAATAAATTGATTACCTTAAAGAAATTAAGTAATTGCTGCCGTGATATCGTCTTTAAGTAAGCCACTTCAATATTGACTCGATCAAAATTATATTGTTGGGTCACAATTTCATTCCAATACAAGGTACACCTTGCAATTAACATTTTTGGTTTTTCCAAACGTAATGTAGCTAAAGCTTTCTTGTTTTCTTCAAATTGTTCTTCTGTCATGGTAGATATGTGATTCTGGAATGGAATTATTAGTAATAGTAAGTTTAATAAAAGTACAGTCTTATCACATAAAAATGGAGTATTGTATTTAATTATAAGATATTGTGTGATAAATGTAAAAAAAAGAAAATATAGTTCCATTAATCAATGCATTAATATGTACTATTGTATATACTGTTGGAAAATTTATGAATCGAATGAATTATCGAATATAACACATATCATATATCCCAAACAGTTTACTTAAATTTTTGTATCCATTTAACATAAGATGAATGTGTTAGAAAATAACACGGATATTATTCATTAAAAACAATCACAAAAAAGATACTTATAAACTTAACACTGACACAGTTTATAAAAGTATATTTTTTTAGTATAATTAACATTTATAATATATTAAACATTTATAATATATTAATATATTAACAAGTATTTCATTCAGTCATCTTGGGATTTATATTTTAAAACATTGTTTTTGTTATTCACTTACTCATACATTATATTTGGCACTAAGAAACATTGAATATCAACACAATATTTAACACAAAATTTTTAAATAACATAATCATTATGTTAAATTAATATCGAATATATTTAAAAATTCAACATAAATGGTTAACAAGAACATAAGTGAATTCCAACACAAATACACAATTTTTTTTACCATATAAGATATATTATACTTACCAACATGGAGTCTAAAAATAAATTGATTCGTTTTTCGACATATTGTGGGTGTTTATCACTTTGTACAATGATTCGCAAGCCTTGTGCTCCACTCGATCTACGTATACCACTAAATACTATGTAGCCTAATTGCTCCTTAGTTCTTAAAGTATTAAAACAAGGTTCCGCAATAATTTGTGCTAAGAGCTCTAAAAGCATATTCGACTCTGTTGATTGTAAACCAGTTGGATAATATACCATTGTACAAGAACTTTTATGTAAATTATTTTCTGCTTCATACAGAAAGTGACAACCTGTAAACACATATTACATATTGTTACAAATTGTTGCATACTACATTATATAAACAATATTAACTTAAAATCTAATCTAATTTCTCTAAAATAAATATTTTATTATAGATAAAAAAATGACTTCAATAACAAATAATTTGTTACTTCCATATTTCTTTTTTATATTAAAATAGATTAGGTTGTTCATTTTTATATTTTTCCTACAATATTTTTAAATTTTTTCTACAATAAACCTAGCATTTATATGAAACTGTTAGAAAATAGAAATAATAAAATTTTTCATGTTGAAATTCTTTAATGACCAATTGTACCAACGTTACTTTAACTCAATATAATATATATAATAATACAATATAATACATAATAATACAAGGAACTTAAAATTCTGTTCTTCTTTATTTCTCTCTCGGCTTTAAAAAAATCTATGGAGTAGAATGGAGACTAAATTCAAGCAGCCGGTCGTGAAAAAGAATCGATTCAAGCTCCGGAAAATCATTTTATGGAAGAACAGATCCGAGTAAACCGGAGAAAACTTTCAATTAAAAGATTTTTCCAACAGTTCGTGTGCACTTGCTTGTATCAGGTGTTTGAAATATTGAGCTTATTAATCCATTCATATTTTAATCAAATAGAATAATATTTTATATAAATTGGAATTTGCGGAACAAAAATAATCCGTGTACATTATCATGTAATTCAGATATTTTCAACTTTCCCTTTAATATTCTTGATATACATTTTTCGAAGCCGTGTTTTAAGGCCACTTTAAATTCTTGAGTTTGATCTTTTTATTCCGCGAGAAAATTAAAGTAACGGCAGTGCAATCGGCATGAGCATATTAATTTTTTCAAATTATCATAAATGAAATTTGATCATGTTATATACCACCATTACTTACCATTTTCTAGTTTAATTTCACGAGACAATACTAGTTGCTGTTCTAACAAGGGTATTATGTTGGGCACTCCAGTTGTCAACTTAGACTCAATTAGTTTAAGTATATCTGTAGCTTCCATTACAGTCACATTACCATGTATTAAGCACTCGACGTGCACCTTACTGAGTAGCTGTGGTATAAACTGCTGGAGTCCCTCGACATTTAAATCTATCACAGAATAAATAATATAATCAGAAATATATCATAGAAATATTAAATATATGTGTTTTATATCATTAATATGTGTTGTAATTGTGCTAAGAACTAAAAAAAATTTAGAAAAGAGAGAAAAAAAATAATTTTTTACAAAAAGTACAGGTTCTCTTTTATGCTTACAGGTAGTAGCTTCCAGTAATTCTTCCTTGAGCCAAGCTTGCTCTGCTAATAGGGCTACAAGATAATAGACAGCATGTTGATAAGGCTGTTCAGCAGCAAAATTTTTCAAGCTCCTGATATACTGTAATAATTCTACATAAATATATTACCTAATTAAATTAAAAATATTGATTGTATTTATTATACATACTTTTTCTTTTAGGATTTCAAATCTCTTCGGATCAACTTTAAAATTTATCATTCGATCCATGATTTTTTCTAACAGCACACGTTGTTTGTTGTCATAACCACCTATAGAGAGCTATAAAAAGAATTGAATTCTTATAGTCTTTTAAACTATGAATTTTATTTTTATAAAACAGTTGATAAACATTATTACGAATAAGAATAGAATTTATTATTAGGAATAGAATTGAGCATATTTACAAATTAGAAATCATTTATGAATAAGCAATTTATGTATATATATATAT